CGCTGGCCCCGCCCCCTGCCCGGCCTGCGGCGCCGCGGAGGCGGCCGGTGAGCGCTCCCGGCCCTGCGCGGGTCCCGCCGCCCCGCACCCCGGCACGGCACCCGGCACGGCACCCCTCGGGCACACACACCCTGCCCGGGCCGCCCGTGGCTGTGCGAGCCGCGACTGAGCGTGCGCCTGCCCTGAGGCCGAGAGGTCCCGAGCTCTTCCGCCGTGGCAGGAATTGGGGCGGGCGGGAGCCCCTTCCCGCCTCTGCAGGGAGGGCAAGATCTGAGGAGTGAGGAAGGGCCGCTGCCTTTGGCTGCTGCTCTGCGCTGCTCAGTGCCTGTGCCTTCCCCCTGCCAGCCCCTGCTCGGTACTGGCTTGATTGGTGTTATCAGACTAGGGGAATTTGCTCAGAAATTATCAGTAAGGARGAAATCAGAGTTACCAAATCAGGTTATTTCAACTGGGTAAAACGCTTGTTCGGATAACCTGTTCATAGAATGCAGTGCTAATTTTCATATTAAAATGTCTCTTTGGGATCTGTGAGAGACAGATAAAGATCTCCAGAATGCTTATTTAAGTAACAGATAATTTCTTACATTTCTTGCAAATGGATTTTGTTGCCTTGGTACAGGAGTTTTCTCATGCTAGCGCTGTATTTTATTGAAGAGCAAGGGCCACAGGTAACTTGAGGATGCTGCTGGTTTCTGTTGCTGTTCTGTAATTGGCAATTAATTAGTTTTCTTTGATATTTTACTCGTAGATGGGGAAGCCATAGGGAGTTTGTATCATGGCAGCAGATGAGGATGGACTGGGACTGTTTGATATCCGCTACAGTGGTAAGAAGTGTTAGATTACTTTCTGGTTWGCAGGGAATTCATGCAAGCAGTCTTGTGCAAATAAATAGGTCCAAAATTAACTTAGAAAATACATTTGAAGTTGGGACAAATGCTGATGAGCTTCATCTGTAATTGAATGGCTGTGGCACAATATCATTGTAAGCCATATCCCATTAGTAAGTTTGTATGTAAAACCGTAACTGTGTAGTTTGGATTTCTGGAATGTTTTGAGGGGGTGTCTGCAACTGGACTCTCCCCTGTCTTTCGTGTTGTATAATTTAACCTTCAGCTATATCTTAATGAAGCTTGGATTTGAGCAGTTAGGGGCACAGCTCCTTTGTTTGCTGTTTGTAAGAGCCAGCGTGCTGTCATCTGCCACATTACCCATAATCAAGGTGCTCTTTATTTCCAGCTCCACAGCTCGTTGACTTGACACATATTTGTGAGATTCCCAGCCTCAAAAGGACTGTGGATATTGATGTTTTTCTTTATAGAGATAATATTTGTTGCATAACTGGAGAGGTTCACATAGAGAACATGAGAGTGGTAAGAGGCATTGGAAAAAGACAGGAAGAGAGACTGAGGAGATTTAGATTAAAATATGTTTACAGAACCAGTTAGTGTGTGAGTAGATGGCAGTACTAAACCAAATCTATTATGATGCAGACTGCTACAACACTTTATTTTTAACAAGAAATATTTCTTTTAACAGTTGTGATTTTATTGAATCAATTATTTTGGTTTTGAATTGTATAACTTTTGTATTCAGTGTATTCTAAAAAACAGGTTCAAAGTTAGATCAATTTTACTTAATGTATCATTTTAAAATTTCCATGTAATTTGCTTTATGCACAGTTCTTGTAGTATTTATGAACTGGTCTTTGCTYCCTGGTGACTAAAGATGTTTTCTCTGCAGTAGCAGTAGTTTGCTGGATAAAATGGCCATCCTTTACTGGTTTGTGCTATTATTTCTACTATTTATCTACTGGTGTAGGATCAAAGGCACACTTACATTATAGGAAAGGTAGAGTTTGCAGTTTACGAAATGATTACTTTGACTTTTTTTTTTTCTTGCTTGCTTTTTTTTTTTTTTTTTTTTTTTTTTTTTTGCTTGCTGTAGCTGAAGCTTCTCCCTTCAGGGAAGGAGATGAGAGCTCAGTGGATATTTATGATGGCTTGGACAGCAGTTTGTCGGTTTCTGGTAGGTTGATTGTGTCTCACTGCTTGGCCTGAAATGTTACAGTGTCTGCTTCTTAGGCTGATTTCAAGTAAAATAGTATTCAACTGTAAGTTTGCATTTAGCTGGCGTAACCTGGGCTTCAGTGAGCARTTTGTTTAAATTCAAGACATATATGTTAGGCTGTATAAATGCAGCAGARAATTCTTAAATCTGTTAGCTGAATGAATGAAATACAATTTTCCTCTGATACAGGCTATTTGAAGAGACTTGGGCTTGTTAARGGGTACAGAGAAACCTTAGCTATTTTATCTGTGCCTTGATCTAGAACATTTTACCTTGGGAAAAAACACCTTTATTTAGGGTTTTTGTAAGCTCCAGGACCATATCCAACAGTCACTAATCACTAAATCCCCAGTGAGAGATCCAAAACTTACTTTCTATGTGATACTTTCTATGTTCAGGAGATCCTTTTAACCTTCTGATACTTTCTAAATAATCTGACACGCTAATGGGAATTAATTTCTTCTTTTAACTTCTTTGAAGGTGAGAAATAAATGGATCCAGTATATGTTCTTTTTCATGAGTCTTAGTGTACTGTTTAATGAAATGTACTGTTTCTAGTATTTAAGCCATTATTTCTCTCCTGATTTTACTGCTGTAAGACCATTGAATTTTTATGGAAGGGCTATACTATATCCTACACACATGAAGCATCTATTTATCTTTTTCTTGCTTTACATTTTGTATTTCTTAAGTTCTTGTTTCACATATGGAGSTGCATTGTTTAGTAAATATCAAAAACAGAAGGAGGAATGACAAYCTAATGAAAACATTGTATGTAGTCCAGTCTTGAGGGACCTTGTTTTTGTTTTTTTTTTTTTAAGAGATAAGTGGTAAGATCTTTGCTCTGTACAGAGCCAATAGATAGATCTGTAATGTAGGGGTGTCATAAGCCAGGTCCTGTCAGTTAAGTGTATTTGGTGAACAGAGCACCTAGGTTGATTTGAGGAAAAAGTGATCAGTCATGTGAATAGTTTGGGTGTTGGCTTGTCAGTTGGTTTTGGTTGTTTGCATTTCTTTCCATTTCACTTTCATTTTGCTTCCAGAGGTCTGTCTCAAGAAATCTCTGTATGTTATCGAAACATGATATGCCATGAGCATGTAATAATGCCTTATTTTGTGTGCTGTTACTTTCTAAGTACAAGAAGTAAAACCCAAATGCACAGACAGTATAGAACAGTCTACATAAATGCAACATGGCTAAAAAAATACCTTTTTCCTTATGTAATTGATTTTCTTTTTATAGACAATTTTGCTCCAAATTTTACACCATCTAGAAGCAGCTTAAATTTATTTGATGAGATATTAATTGAAGAAGGGACTGCAAAGAAAGCATCCTATGATGAGGTATGTATTAAAATGAAAAAAAAATCCTCGTGTTTTGGGGGGGGGGGTGTTTGAAATTTTCTTGTGTAAAAGGTAAAGCACAGAAAATGTGTCAACATGCCCACATTGTTGGAAAATACAGGCAAATTGCTTTTACATAAGTAGAAACAAGAGTGTGCTCGACAACAAGTTCATCTGAGTAAGTGAATCTGCCACTCTGTGACATGATATGTTCTCATTTTTCACCCTTTGCATGCAGTTCATGTATCAGCTACATTATGGGAAAATATATTGTGCTTTCCCTTCAGTCAAGGATCTGTTTGGGCATCTGATACAAAGTTAGTCTTGACTTTACTCCAAACAAATTTTACCAGAGTAAAGCAGAGAAATCCATGACCTATTTTACGTGTTGTTAAATTCTGTCCTTGAGACTGARGGTGGCTGTGCAACAGGTAACTGATTCTAGCAAGTCAAGACAACACTCAATTAAGTAGCATCACCAGTCCTGACCTGTAAGACACATTTAAAGGGTGTAAAAGGGACAGACATCCATAGATATTAGAAGGACCAGGAGTGAAACCTCCAGGACTCTACTGAGTCACTTTGCAAGTCAAAGCTGTTGACTGTGTGTTTGAATGGAAGTCGTCCATTCTCCTGTGAGAGTTTTGTCACYATCTACCTCTAAAGAAGAGCTCATGCCAAATTTATTTTATTTGTGATCTCAGCAGGATCATGTCCTTTGTAGTCCAGGTTTGTTTGTAGTAACTTTATGTTTTGTTTTTCCTTACCTATTCCGTGCTACACAAACTCTGACTAGCAAGTCCCCATGTATTTGGCTCTTGAAACTYGTGCTCCCTGGTAGTCGTGTCTTAATTACACAATAATATGGCTTCCTGTTACTCTTTAGCATATTGCTGTTAGGCAAACACACATAGATGTCCTCTTACCTGAGTGTGTCATTTTAGAGACTTGTATACCAGTTGAACCATATTGAAGACTTGTGTTTAAATATGGCTTTAATATGTTGCTTTGGGGGAAAAAACAGGGGTTTGTAATATACATTACTGTATTAACTAACTATAAATCTAGAGAAGTAACTCTTCTGTGCAATTCTGTGCTATGAATTCTTCTCTCTGACAGTTGCAGGCAGAATATGGAAAGTGTCAGCACCAAATTAAAGAGTTGATGAAGAAATTTAAAGAAATACAGGCACAGGTATTGTAGTTCAAAGAAAAATATTGTCAAGATCATACAAAGTGAATTGGATATTCCGCATTGTTTTCTGTAAAACTTGTCTGCCTTTCTGAGCAGGCTTTGCCAAGGACAATTATCAAGAGAAGGGACTATTTCTGGGATTGACAGGATTCTCGAATATTATACCTAGAAATGTAAGAATGACAGAGCACTCAAAGTTGGTTTTGATATCTTGAAAGAAATACAATTACCCTCTTTCTCTAAAAGCACTTAGAAGGTACATCTCTCATTTGACACAGTGACCAAGGAAACAATAAATTGAGTAAAAGAATGAAGCAAAGAGGTGGATTATAATTTTTTAGTTCTATGGTTACTTGTTCTATGGCATATTTCAGTCTTAGTAAACTTTATGCTTAAAGCATTTGAAAYAATTACCAGAAACACAAATTTGGGCATTAATATGAGTGATGTGGGAAAAAAAAAAAACCAATACAAGCCAACTGCTTTGGATCTCAATAATTCTGGTTTCTTCAACACAGTTTATATATGTTTTACTATCACTTTGCCAATGATGGCACATTTTTCTAGTGGTTGTCTTGCACTGTTTCTCATTACATGTTTGGATACCCAAGCTAATCTTTGTTTTTTCTCTCCCTCTCTCTCTTGCTACCTGTTTTATACGTATTTAAAACAGAATGTCATTCTACAGAACGAAAACCTAGCTCTGAAAAAGAATATTTCAGCCCTTATCAAAACAGCAAGAGTAGAGATTAACCGTAAGGATGAAGAAATCAGTCATCTCCGTCAAAGGTACAAATAGACAGTAGAACTAAAAACATGCTTTTTCTCTGATCATCTTTATATACTTCTTAGAAATTTTTGTGTGTATTTTAAGAAATTTTTTGAGACGTATCAGTTGCTTAGTAGATAATTGTGTAGTTTAGAACCAGTACAATCAGAGGAAATGCGTAAGTATCTTTGCCTGATGAGGTCTTTGGTTTCTACTTAAGAAACCAAGAAGGAATCCAAAGGGTGACCACTTGCATAGATTTTTGTTTGTAACTGTTCCTCATGGGTTATCTAACCATCTTGCATGTTTAAAAGCAGATACCTTACTAGTTTTGAAGCTGAACTGTGTCTGTTTTATGGCCCCAAGACATGAATTCCATTAAACTTTTCAGACAACAAGTGAAAAGGAATAGATTATATAATGTTTTCCTGGCAAGATATGAAATCCCTGTTTTCAGTGCTGGGTAATAACAACTAGARAATTCTTGGTTATTTTTGTGTACTACTAATGTTACTGTGAGGAGTTGAAAACAGTAAAGTACGGATGGGAAAGTAGCTGACAGTAAGGTTTCTGAACCACGCGAAACCAGAGCAGGGGTTCAGGATTCAGGACCCCAGCTTGTCACGAGGTAACCTGCTTGTCACTTGTGTCACACATCATTGGTTTGTTTGTATTTTGATTTGGCCATTTGATATTTTCTTGCACCGAAAGGTGTCCTAAAGAACACCTTTTCTTGTTCATTGGACATTCWTTTGACGTTACTGTGCTAAAGGCTACATGCATATAAACTATGCAGGTTTCTTTGCTAAATACAGAAAATTACCAGACACAATCTGATGGAGGTCAAGAGTTTTTGACATGTGTCATTCTTTCAATTGATCAGCTTTCACAAAACAGCTGTCATTTTCACACCTTCGAGTGCAGTAATCTAATTTTTTTAATTAAATTGTTTGAAAAAATACTTCTTTTGAATATTTGACCTCATTAAATACTTTGCAAGCTACATTGCAATACCATCTGATGGTGGTGTAAGTTTTTGAACAAGGTGTTTGATCTAGGTATTTTGGAAGCATCCATCATGGAATATTGTGGTGAAAGTGGAACTTTGAGATCTTGGAAACATGCCTTGTCTGCTGCATGRTTTATAGTAAATTAGCTTAGCTTAAACAATGCTTCTATATGTAAAGATTATTTCAAATAATAGTTAGTATGTCTCAGGGAGTTGTTAGTGTTTATCTCAAAAAAAACCCCTCAACTAAAAACCAAACAAACATGCCTTGGATACCAATTRCATTAATCACATATGTATACAGATTTAATAGCCAGCCTAAAGTATATGGAAAACTTACCAGTATCATTCAAAATGAAACAGAAATAGAGGAAAGGGGTTTGTATTACAACAGCTGCAGCACTGTTTGCACTCAACATTCAGTTCACATCACAATGTCACATTTTTGGAGTATGCCCAGTTGTATAAGGTATTCATATCGTATTTAAAAGTACTGTGTTGACCCATAGGAAKTATTCCATTTTAGAAAGCAAAATCAACCCTATTATGTATTAGAGATACGTACRGGATTGTTGTACACTTGTGCTGATTCCTTACCACTGGATGCTGTTTCATCATAGAATTTTAGGCCAAATCCAAATGTCTGTATCAGCCACTTCATCCTTGACTCTAAAACAGAGCCAGATATTCAGTGGTTTGTTGTCATGATTTGTTGGTATGACTTTTATTTCTGTTTCCTTTTCGTGGAAGAAGTCCACACAGCATTCTTTTTATATAGTGGCAAGTGTATAAGAAGGGTGGCCTTGTCTTTTATTCATGTGAGTTTAATGAAACGTTGTATTGACAATGGTAGAAAAGAGTCTGATTGGTTTTGGGTTTTGTCTTGTTGCAGTGGGATTGGGAGGTTTCTTGTTTGATTAGTTTTTTTAATAGGCAGGTAACTGATGCATTCTCTCAGTCATGAATAGGAATTTAGGCCGTACAGGCTACATGTGCCCTTATAAAATTAATTTTCTTTATTATTTTTAATATAATTACTTTTCAGCAGTAGCATGTGGCCTTGATGAGGCTTGGTTATCATAATGTACTACTTGCTTTCTGGAGTTTGCACCAACTCCCAAATGTAGTTTATTCACTTACTGATGGTTTTAAAATTATTATTTTTAGTATTATTATTAGTATTTTAAATCACTAATGCTGTAAAGAACAACTTTTTTTTTCTGCTGGAAAGCTCTTTTTATTGCTGGATAATGAAATACTAATTTGAATTACTGATATTGTTAACTAGACACAATATAGTATTTTTTCATAAATCTTGACTTTTCTTCAGATTAATTTCCTGTGGAATATATACATAAGTTATATTTGTTTGTTCTGTGCTGATGGAAATTTTAAAACACCTTTTTATATTGCCCATTTTTTTCAGCTTTGAAAAAAAGTGTAATTTTTCACAGATACATGGATTCTGTGCAGTTCACTTTAGTTRTGTTTAAATAAATTTTTAAAAAACGTTTTTTCTTTCTATAAACAGGCTATCAGATTTTCCCAACCATCGAAGTATTTTCAGCAGAGCATACCTTCCAGGCTCAATTAAAACAAAAGATTCCAAATTCCGACCCTCTGATTTGGGTGACAATATGAAGATGGAACACAGAATGAAAAATGATGGTTCAAAAGATGCATACCACGGTTACTCGTCTCATAACACAGACAGTGGGAAGTCTGGCTCTGAGAAAAGGAACACTCCATTTTTGCTGAGGTACCCTCCTGAAGAGCTCTGCAATGATGGTTCTCACACATGTGCACTGAGCTATGACCATACTTCCGGCAAGGAAAACAGACAGGAAAGAAAAGAAACTAAAAGTAATGAACAGTATTGTAGGGGAAATGTCAACAAGTACAAAAGAGAAGTACATCAGGGCACTGGAAATGATGGTGAAAGTGAGGAGGGGAATTCAGATCCTCAACAGAAGCTGAAAACGCTTTCAGAGAAGGCTAGTAAAAATGAGTTGCAACAAAAAAGTCAGAGCATGAAACTCAAATGCAGTCCAAGTGGAGAAAGAAGAGTAGAAAGGGGTGTTTCTTCCTGGGAAAAACAGACAGCTGGTAAAGACAGATTTCAAACCAGAGGTGAATCGTATGCTGATGAGAGATTACAAAATGTATTAAAAAAAGACATTAAAACACATGATAAAGGTGAAAAGCATKCTGGCCAGAAAAATAAACTGAATGAGAAGCTGCAAGAACAGCCAAGGAGGCCTGGTAGGGGGAGCAGTCCACACCCAAGGAATGAGCATTCAAAGAGTCTTCATGAATCACGTAAATGTCGTATGGAAGAGTCCAGRAGAGTAAAACACATTGACTGCAAAAGAGACAGAGGAACAGATGATCATACCCCTCGAGAAGGAAGGACTTCACCTTCTAATTCCAGCAGCAGAGAGCATAAACATTCACGCCTGARGGAAAGTAGTAGTAGACATGAATGGGAAACAGCACATTCCAAATCAGAAAGACACAGAACTGAAGAGAAAAGGAAAAGGGAAAGAGAGGATCAGGATGAAAATAGACATTTTAGAAATGATAAAAAAGTCGCAAAAGAATTTTCTCACCAATCTGTGAAAGACTCCAAGAAAGGTACAGATGTTACAAAAAGTGAGAGAAACAAATCCTGTAAGCTGGAAGAAACATCCAGAGTAGCAGGCAGTAGTTTAAAAAACAATAAAGTTCGCAAAACTAAAGGTAATCGCACTGGGCCAAAAAGCAAAGACTTAAAACTTAGCTTTATGGAAAAGCTAAATTTAACTCTTTCTCCTAATAAGAAGCAATGTCTCTCTGCAAAGGATGGACTTAGAACACTTTGCCAAAAGGCTGCTGTTGAGGGAGGTACAGAGCTCACACTGCAAGCAGAACTCTTAGAGTCTGCCCACCCTGTAGGCTGCGGTCCCACAGAGCAATTTCATTCAACATTAAAAGTTCTGGACACTGTGGCTCAGAGCAGCRTGGAACCAGCAGTGCCTGTTTCTGTCAGTTCTGAAAATGAAGGCTTGAAAGTAGCAGCAGCAGATCTGGTGCAGTCTGAAGCGTTGCCAGCAGCCACAGTCGATGAATCGAGCTCAGAAACTTTACCAGAAGCACCAGTGGGTCAGGTACTGCCCCACGCCTTGCCAGAAGCAGCCAAGGTGCTGGTTCCTGATGAGATGGAGGCTGAAACGCTGTCAGAAGCAGCAGAGGCTTGTGATCCCATTGAATTGGAAGCCTCAGTAAAAACAGCAGCAGTGGTGGGTCTGAACCACTCTAAATCTTTGCCCCTGGAGGTGATGGGAAGTGTGGGAGAGTGTGGAGAGTTGCCTGTGACAGAGGGTGAGATGCAGAGTGATAATGTACYAGCAGCAGAAGTGGCACAACCTGAACCTACAAGTGCAAGTATGGGAGGCCTTCAGGAGTCAGCAGCAGAGAAGAAAAAGGAAGATAAAATATGGCTGGCTGCTGACACAGAAAGCTCTGCAGATCAGTGTGGCTCTCAAAATGTTGTCTTAGATGACTTGGAATCCAGAAGTTCTGGCGACTTGGAGTCCTCTGATACTGCAGATGGTATCAGTGAAACAAAACCAGACTCTTTAATGGAAGTAGTGAGGGATGGTGATCACTTGGCTGCAGCAAATATTGACTATTCCATTGAGGAAAAGAGTATCTGTGAAATTAATACGAGTACATCCCATTCAYTGGACAGAACTATGATAGCTGATAAGGATGAACCACTAGTTGACCAGAATACTTGTGATCTGGAGCCAGACCTAACTGATAGCAATACTGCAACAGCACTTTCTCTCTCTAAAGGGAGAGAAACTAACCCAGTTTCTRTTGATGATGACAGCTCAATACTGAGTATTGATCTCAATCACCTGAGGTACATTCCAAAGGCAATCAGCCCACTGAACAGTCCAATGCGTCCTTTGGCTAAAGCACTGAAGATAGAAAGTCCCTGTAAAGGCCTTGTGAAGACTTACAACAAAGGTATTTGTATATTCTAATTTCTTTTCCACATAAAGCTTTGAATATCTGCTCATGGAAAGCAGAAATTAATTCATTTAACTCCTTTCTGAAAAATATAGTGTCTTCTTAAAATGTGTGTGTGTCAGTGGTCCTTTTTGTTAGTAGTGGAAACATTTAATGTTGCAAACAAAATTGTAACTATTTGATAATTAGTGCTCTAAAAATTGGGAGTTGGTCACTACTGACCGAAGACTGGTTGAAATAAGAGTTTTGTGTTGTGTTACTAAAAAATAAATACAAATTTCTTAATTGTGGCTTGTTTTGCATAGATATCTTTAGGCTTTTTCTGGAAAAAAAAATTTGTTCCATAATGGTGGAAGCAAAATTTATGTGGGTTCATATTCTTTCAAGTAGTTGTGAATTTAAACAAAAATTCTAGGAAGTTTAGATTTCTTATTAGAAAAGAAATGGTAGAGTGGCATTGAAATCGGTTGTTTTGTGTTTAAGAGCATAACTCTTTACCGGATTATTAAAATGTTAATAGGTAGTAACAATAATTTGTTCTCTTATTTCTTTCAGTTTTGAAACTGTTAAGAGAGACACCACCTATTGTATGTAAATGTTAGTCCATAATGATGTGACAGTTACAATTTAGCTGGTACAGTAATCAAAAAGCTTGTTGAAGTAAATGGAAAGAAATTCAAAACTGATGAAAACTGCTGTATTTTTCTCTTTTCAATGAATGTATTTGTGAGATAGTTCACATGTGCTTGGCAAAGCTTTGAAGTCCCTTAAAGCTCAAAATTTGCTCAAAATAAAGCTCAATTTGCCCTTTAAAGCTCAAAAAAAGTCCCTTAAACCAGCAGCTGCTGAAGCAAACCACCCAAACTTGTTATAGGTTAGCCTTCCCAAGCTCAAACAATCAGTTTTGAATAGTCAGTTTACAGGAGAGAATCTTGCCCTTTTTTTCTGAAAATGTCTGTTTATAATTGCATTCTTTTTGGTGATTAGCAAACTGCTTTCTTTTCATAGATTTARTTCCTGAAAGTGCAGTTGTCATCTGTCCCTCAAAGAACTTATCAAAGGAGGTAAACAAAGAAAATCAAAAGCCAGTTAACTTGTCTGATGAACATCTAGAGATGGAGTCTCAGCTAAGTATCTCTTCAGATGAAATAGAAGAAGGTGAAATCGTAAGTAGTGATGAAGATGAAGAAAATCCTAAACCAGAGAGAGGCGCTGAAAATACAAAAAAGTCAAGACCGAAAGCTTCACCTGAGACACGAAATTTAACCAGCAGTCCGCAAAATCAAAATAGCAAAACTGTGCACTGCAGTGAAGATAATGGAAAATTTGTTTCTGTGCAAGTAAGCACACAAAAGAACAGAGAGAGGCATACAATTCAGACTTTCAGATCTTCAAAGCATATGAGGAAAACCAAAACTGTGAGCATTGCTTGTCTTGAAAAAATAGTTCATGTTATTGTGGAACCTTCAAATATACAAGAAATTATGCAGATGCTCAGAGCTATCCGGAAACAGATGAGGAGAAGTTATATGAAGTTCAAAGTACACTTCCCAGTTCAGCATTTTCACAGAATTATAGAATCTGGGATCATAAATTTTACAGCATTAATAAGATACTTGAATTTTTCAAAGATATGTGCATTAGGTGACACATTGAAGTTGAATATATGTGATATTATAGAGTCAAAACTTAAACAAGTTAAGAAGAATGCARTAGTGGACCGTCTTTTTGAACAGCAAGTATCAGATATGAAGAAACAATTGTGGAAATTTGTAGATGAACAGCTTGATTACTTATTTGAAAAGATACGGAGAATTATAATAAAACTATGTGACATGGAAAATGAGGGTGAGGAAGGGAAGTTTGAAAGGGCCGKAAAGCAAAACCACAAGATCAGTCATAGACATGATGTGCAGAGATCTAGAAAAAAGTCCCTGAAAGATGGTTCTCAAAAGCCTGAAGAATATATTTCAAAGCAAATTGTAGATTATCAGCAACCTAAATGTCACCATGAGAAAAATAAGACAAGTACACCGCCAAAAATTGCCTTTACAAAATGTCTTAACTCCATTGATAACACAAGAAATTCCCAAGCAAAAGTTCACCTCTCTAAAGAGAATAATTTACAAAGTACTCTTACTCCACTAAAGGGTGTAAAATATGAAAAGGAAGGACTCCAGCTGTCCAGAGATGCTAACAAGTCAGATTTTAGTTATGAGCTTCTCACAGAACAACAAGCATCCAGTCTTACATTTAATCTTGTAAGYGATGCTCAAATGGGTGAAATTTTCAAAAGCTTATTGCAAGGTTCTGATCTTTTGGAAAAAAATGGTGGCAATATCAACAGAAATGATTGTGAATTCAGGACTCCGGAGAAACAGTTTTTAGACAGTCATAAATGCAGGGATAATCCTGAACTGGAGCAAGACATTGCTTCAAAGGAGGCAGAACTGGTTTGTAGACTGGAAGAGGATATTAGCTGGACTATGGTTTCACCTGTAAGAGCTCCCTCATTAGCATCTGGGCCTCAGATGCCTGTTGATCCAGATGTGCTGGATGAGAGCTGTATGTTTGAGGTTTCTACAAACTCAGCTTTGTGCAAAGAAGATGAATGCAATTTACAGAAGAATAAGTCGTGTGTTTCTTCTATCCTTCTGGAAGATTTGGCTGTTTCCTTRACTATTCCATCACCTTTGAAATCAGATGCTCACCTCAGCTTCCTAAAATCTGAGAATAATTCTAGCTCAGCTCCTGCAGGTGTTGTTAGTGCACATTACAGTGAAGATGCACTTCTTGGAGAGGAAGATGCCACTGAGCAGGACATTCATTTGGCTTTGGAATCCGATAACTCAAGCAGTAAATCGAGTTGTTCATCATCGTGGACAAGTCGGCCTGTTGCTGCTGGTTTTCAGTGTCGCCCCAGCCTACCAATGCAAGCCGTCATCATGGAGAAATCCAATGATCATTTTATTGTAAAGATTAGGCGTGCAGTGCCATCTGCCTCACCAGCATCTGATCAGATTACTCCAGTGAAGGAGGCACAGGCATCCTCAGCCAAGATTGGAAAAGGAGAAATGAGAACTGGGGGAAAAGAAAAAGACAGCCAGAGTGCCACTGTGAAAGAGTCTATCGAACCAGATCTGGTTAAGATGGATCACTTGCCTCATATCGGTGCTGAACAAGAACAAAGTCCTGCCTTAGCTCAGCCTCTGAAGGAGTCATACAATAGTATTGGAAAGGAAGAAGCTACAAGGTTGCTTGGAACCTGTAGAAAATCTTCAGACAAGGAGAGCCATGACACTGAAAGCCTGGATAAAGGCTCTAAGCAATTTGAGGCAGAGAGATGGCAAGTATCCAAAAACATAGATGAAATGCATGTTAGATCTCAAACTTCYTTTCCTGCTGAATGCAGTATGAAGTCCTACATAACAGATAATATTGTTAATGGAACTTCATGTCGTGCAGTGGAATCCAGAGCAGATAATGGGACTCGGGAAACTTSTACAGGAAATTCAGAAGTCAGTGATAAAAAGGAAGAACTGGAAGAGTGCCTTGATGCATCTCTAGACTTAACAGAAGAGCTTTCTAATGAGAATGTAGCAGGTGAATGTAATCTTGAAACAAAACCCAATTCAAAGATTGATGGAGGGTGCCAGAGAAGTCTRGATGATAAAACCAGTAAAAAGAGGAAAAAGGAGACTGTTCAAGAGAATTCCGATTCAAAAAGGCAACGAAAAGAAACTGAATCAGCACATGAGGGGAGTGATGAAAGTATTATCAGGTCAGAAGATACAAATTCATCACCCAAACAATCTTCCAATAAGAATGAGCTACAGCAGAACAAAGACTCTTCTCCCTTGACTTCATCTCCATCATCACCGAGCCTTTATGCCAAAAACATCATTAAAAAGAAGGGAGAAGTAATAGTTTCCTGGACAAGGTATTTTCTGATTTGATCTGTTTGATTGTTCTAWTTTTTTTTTTAAATAAGTGATACAACGAAAAAAGGTAAGAAAAGGGTATTTAGCTGATGACTGAAGTTATTTGGTAGCTCTACACCCTTCTCTAAAAAGTGGAGTGGGAGCCTCCTTTTATCAAAAGGCAGGATTACTGTGGGAGATTGATGTCCATCACTTACCCAGATCTCCCGAAGTGGGAGTCCTCTTGGCTTTTGTTTTGAAAGCTTATGTGCTGAGCTAATAAGACCTACTGTAATGCACTGTCTGTCCTTTTTATTCCCCTTKCTCTTTTGTTTTCTCTGTCCAAAAGTTCCAGCCATGCTTGGTAGGGAATGGAGGTCCATGATGTTCCTGTGAGGCATTGGTGACTRGTGGAGGAAAACAGCTTAAGATTTCCCCCACTGGGGGAAAGCATGAGAGCAAACAGTTTTTTGTTTTCAGGTCTGGGCTGTTCAATCTGTGGAAATTTACCAGTCAACCATTCAACTCATATACTTCAACTTGCAGGATATGGGTGACAAATGATAYGGCTGTACACGTACAAAACCACTGTAGTGTGTTCTTATTTTTAAGAAACTATGGTTGGCAGATTTTCCTGGTCTTGCTACAACTTGACACAATCAACACTTTATAAAGGGGTTTCTAAAATTWTCAGGAGAGGCTTTCTAAACTATAGTTCAGATATAAAGTAAGTTTCTAGATAGTATTTTAAAATAAGGTCAGCTCAATTGTGGAAAGAAGACAGCAAAAGCTAATGTGATATTTTTAAGGTGCAAACCAAGGTTTTCCTTATGAATGTGGCCAGATTTTCAGTTTCACAGTTTTTGTCTTTGAACTGTACCTTAAAAAAAAAAAAGTATTTATTTTAATAACTAGCCATTACATTTTTCTTTGAAATTGAATGGAAATCAGTGACACACTTCAGAGTAGTTCCCTGGTTCTTTTCTCTCATGTGAACAGTAGATATGCTCTAAGTATGTTTGTTACATTTAGCCACTTAAAGAAGTTAAACATCTCTCTGGTTTGTCTTCGAACATCTGTGGGCCTTAAGTGAAAGCTACTGCTCAGCCAYGCAAACTGAGGCAAGTGCACCTGGAACTACTGACCCCAGTTGAATTTGAGTTCCTCTCAATTCAAGTGTAATTGTCTTATTTTAGAAGCTTAAAACTCTCTGGCTTTGTTTTGGGGCTAACTTTAGTGTAACAATCCCACGTTACTAATCGAGGAGCATAATCTCCACTACCACTTGTTTGTACCGACTATTACTCTGCTGGAGAAGAGAGGATGCTCCATGAATTTGTTGCTGCTGTTTGAATTCATGTTCTGTAGTTTGGAAATCCTCAGAATTTTACATATGCCTGTATGTATTGTTTTGCTTGTGTGCATATACACAGCTCTGTGTTTTAATATTTTAAAAATTCATTTTTGCTGTAGAAATGATGACCGAGAAATTTTAYTGGAATGTCAGAAAAAAGGACCATCAAGCAAAACCTTTATTTCCTTGGCCACTAGGCTGAACAAAAGCCCAAACCAGGTAGGTGGTGTCATTCTTCTATTTACTAACAGCAACATTTCTTCCTTTACAATTGCAGTTGAACAAAAATCTTAGGAGATCTTCTGCAAACCTATAGTGTTCTTTTCCTTATGTCTTTTTTGGGGGATTCTTGAAAAAAAAGTATCTTAGATTCTGTCAGTTGTTACTTCTTAAAAAGTAAGTACCCATTATAAGAGTATTATGGGGATTCCTCAGTACCTGTTTGATTAGTACATTGAAACTGCTCCCCTCATAAGGCAGGAAYAACAGGATTGTTCTGTTGTTGTATTAGCTTAGATAAAGGTAATTTTGAGAGGCCTGGAGTGTTTGCACACCTGTAATTAATTAGAAAAATATTAAATTTAGAGCTGAAGAAAAGTGCCATGATTGTGCAGAAACAACTTTTTTTWWKRA